AGCTTTAGATGAATAGAAAAGAAATAATAAAGTACAACATCTTTATAATATAATTACAATATAAAATAATAATACAATATGAAGTATAAAATCATGAATAAAGAAGCCAGTACAAACAGGTTGTGTTGTGACAGAATTAAGTAATTGTTTAAAGCTGGGCTGACAAATTGTTGTTGTTTCATAAATAAATCGAAACAGAATTGTACCCATTTGTAAACTTTTGTTGTCTTGTAAAAGTATCATTTTATGAACAAGTAAAACACAGCTTCTCTTCATCTGATTAGAAAACATCGTATTATTTTTGCATACTTGTAAAAAAGAGTCCTGTGAGTCACAATTTGACTCTTCAGGATGAGTGAATGTGGTCCTTTCTTTTATCACTTTAACGTCTGAAAGATAGAGACCAAAAGAGACATGATGAAAACAAACCATATTGGTGATTTACTGTAGATGGAGGTTAGCTACGTCAGCTTTAAGTGGGCTTTAGACCATATACACTAAAACAAAAAATCTAAATCCAATGCATTTGTCCCAAGAGATTAGTGTATTATGTGTATTTTGTACCGTATTCATCAAGAAATCTTCTGTCGTGATCATTTTGTCACAGTTTAATTTGTTAAATAATCAACAAAATAGTTATTGCTGTCTCCTCTATAATAGTAATCATGACTTTAGAAATGACGCAAGTCTTTAACGTAAATGAATATCCACTCATCCATTACATAATTGCGCCTTCACCTCAAAAGCTCCCCATACTGCCCTACTTCACCGTTATGAAACACATTCAGAGGGAAACGATAGCTCGCACAGGCGATAAATCAAAAACTGTCAAATCGCAGAGACATATTATTGAGCAAGACTACAAAAGCAGGTGTGTGAGTGAAGGCGGGCGCCGTATTGTGTTGACGGCAGCAGAGGCTTGAAATCTGGCAACAAAGCAAGTCTAATGGCCCTGTGTCAGCCAAAGGTGAGCGGGAGATTAGCCAAAAGAAATGACGAGGGCCTGACAACGGAAAACCACGGCTCCCGCTCCGTGAACCGCGGATAAATACAGGTGCGAGGGCTTTGGAGGGGTCTGAAACACAGCGGGCTACGAACGGGCGTGAATGGAAGAGGGCGGGGGAGAGTTTAGCGGTTTAGCGGCAGCCAGCCCGATAATTACATTATTATCTGTAATTACCCTTTGTCAATAGATGGCTTTATAAAATGGTGCAGAGGACAGAGTGAGCTTTGGGACAGGAATTTGAAGAAGAAATGAGAATGAATTCAGGTCCTCACCGTAAGACATGGGGGGCTTGTTCACACTAAAGGGCACAGAAGTGTGACAAAAGGCCAAACATTTGATTTGAATAATCTGAAGATATTTGATGTTTTTCATGTTTCCAAACACATCCTCTGCTCATTAGAAGTTGCTAGAACATAAATGTTTTATGCATTAGACAAGTTTCCTGTAGCGGCCCTGTTTACTTTATCTAACGTGATGATTTGACGGAATGAGCTTTGGAAGTTTGTTGCGTATTTTTAGATGTCCACATTTGATTAAGAGATTCTATTTTTTTTACATAGAGTAGAAACAAAGTGATACTTTCATATAGTAAAATAATTAAATGTGAAACCAGACCAGATTTGTTTTTTCCTCAAGTTTAATTGTTAGAGAAAAATGGACAGAAACCATTACGTTCGTTACACATTTTTCAAGGGTCATTTAATATATATATATATATATATATATATATATATATATATATATATATATATATATATATATATATATATATTTTAAATCACTTGATATTCTTTTTTATATCAAGTGATTTATTTGTGTTGTGTTAACCATGTAAATCTTGTGGGATTTTATCTGCCGCTATTCCAGGACATTTTATTTCCTATGTAACCGGCGTCGCAGTAGAATGGTCCAATCAGAGGCTGATTTTGTCGTTTAAAATGTCGCCAAAAATTTAATTGTCAGTCTTTCCTTTGATTTTAACCACACTATCTCTTCAATGTGTCTGTTTGAATTTTTTTTTCTAATCTATGATAGTAATTTTAGTTTTTGACACTTTACTGTGAACACACTCACTTCATTTGGTCAGTCTGCATTTACATAAAGAACTCATTACCCTCTAAATCTAAAAAGAGTTAAAAATTTTCACTTCTCGAGTTAAGTTCTGGTTGAAATGGAAACAGAATTGTACCCATTTGTAAATTAGTAAATAGCACTGACTTTGTGTGTGTAAAGGATTTAAACAGTGTATATAGGAAAGTTCTTAAGATAATATTAAAATTGTTCATGTAGTGCAGAAAAAAATAGCAAATTAGCAATCAGTTATGTAAGTAAGTAAGTAAGTAATCTTTATTTATATACCGCCTTTTCACTGCAGATCTGAGTCTCAAAGCGGTTTACAATTGTTAATTTTGGGCAAGTTATAATCTTGTTTTGTTCTATGTTGACTTGAAATGTCCTTTACACAGAATTGAATAAATAGATAAAATAAATGTCTCAAAAGTTGAAGCTGGAGGAACTAAATTTGGTTTTCATTTCATTTAGAAACAGCAGTGACATGGATTTTACTTCACAGCAATTTCCCAGGGATTTAACTCTAGACATGTATGCAAATGACTATGAGTCAAGACGTCTGGTGCTGTGGCCGAAACCAGAGCATAGTCGAGAATGAATTGTACATTTTTGTAACTTGAGATGTGTGCGTTTATTTCTTATAATCAGCCTGGTCTTGCAACAACACTGAAAGCCGTGCATCTGGTCTGCTCAATCTGACTGTTGTGTCCATATAAAATACATGAATGAATCACCTTTTAGCTCACAATCAGTACGATCTTTTGACTTCCAAGGAACCGCGAGTACCTGAGAGAGCAGATGCCGGGCTAATAATACAGTATGACAACCTGATGACAACTTACATAACATACAAGCGGAAAGACATGTTTTTAAAAGGTCAAACAAGTAAGCAACACATACTAATAATTATCCGGAATTATTATCTTGTCTTCTCAATGAAAAGCAAATCCTTCCATGTATGTTTTTGTCCAAAGATCCATTCAATAACTAAGCATAGGGACATCCATGACTCTGTTTGACATGGGGTTGAACATAGATGGATATTTGTCATGCTTTCACTGTTTAAAGTCTGAAGAAACAGAAGCAAGGCCCGCAGTATTTGCTTTACTTTTTACTCCACCTCCCAATAGTGTTAAATGTCATTTGGATGCATCACCTGTTTGAGTGCTGACACAAATGCATTTCAAAACTAGTGGTGTCCGTCACGGTTAACCAAACTCTATTTGTTGTTGTAGTTATCTATACAAACGCTAATATTTTGCATGATTTACGTGACAGTAAAGTCGACATTATTACAACTCTTGTGGTTTTGCTCTGGTTGAAGAAGATCTGGCTGAAAACAACAATCCATCAACACATAATTAGTCTTCCCTGCATCGCAACCTGCAGCTCATTGCCTTTCGTTATGATAAAACTTAACTTAACTTGTGTATAAAAAGCAGAGAACGTGCCAAAATGTATGTATTGTGTCAAGCTTGCAGGAAATTTGCAAAGAATATGGATTATTACTCTATTTCCCGCAATTATTTGTCTAATTCTGCTCTTTGTGTGCTTTTTTTGAAGCCTGAAATCGTCCAAGTTTTTGGTTTCAGCAGCGGGATGTTCGGAGCATGTGGGTGGAATGAGGAATTTCTTGCACATCGAGTCAAATTTCAACATTTTTTCTCCCTCTCTTTCCCATTTTCTCTTTCGATGTTTTCACGGTAACAACGTAACGCAAAACAACTGGACGACGCTGTCTCCAACTACCATTTTGGGTCAACTTGGCAAGCGTGAGAATGTACAGCGCCCCTTTGTTGGGCCAAAATAGGAAGAAAAGCATTGTTGTTAGCGTCCTGTAGCAGCGCTGAAGGTCTGGGGCTTGTGTCAGTCAAACAGCGTGACGCGGGGGCTGGCTAAACACGCACAGCCAAGAATGAAAAGAAACAAGAGGGCAAAGAGGCAAAAACAGCCAGCGTGTGAAAATCATGAGCAGCTCTGGACAAATCACCAGTGGTCTGTCAAATAAGACCAACAAGGAAGAGAACCTTTGAGAGGTTTGTGGAGTTATGGTTAAGAACAATCAAAATGTGTGTGTTGTCTAAAACTTCAAACTATTTTTTATCTATTATTTAATTTATTTTATATCTATTTTAATTTATTTATGAATTCATTTCAAGCAAATAGTGTTCCGAGAAAAAAACAAAAAGCAAAAAGGAAGACAATATCAACACTTTTTATCGCACTAATTTTCCATAAAAAAACAAACAAAAACAAAACAGCCAGTGTAGTTTCTATGCACTTTTTAGATGTGGCTATTGCTAACCAGAGAATCTCTTGATCCACGAAACACAGCCCATCGACCAAACGTAATGATTTTAAGACCAACCAAGTCTTAAAATTGTTCTTAAATTGAATGGAAAACAAGTATTTAGACAAAAAAACCTGAAATATTTAGCGATGAATAAACAATACTGATTGAATGTGTGAATTGAGAATTGGACATGGCCTGATTACTAACTAAATATCAAAATATTTTCACATAATTAAAATAAAAGAATTGGTTGAATAACAGAAATTCAACTATGACTAAGAAGCATCGACCGATTAACTGAATATTGTGTTGATTTGGTAACACATTTGTGCATTCCAAAAACAAGTGTATGACATATAATAACATTACTTATTTGTAATGTATCACTTCTTTCATTGTTAAACCAATAGAACCTAATATAGTTCCCCTTCTTTATCTTGTAAATGTTTGTGAATGCTGATCACCCGTTTGCCCTGCGCAAAGAAAACACATTTGATTTGCACTTTTCATGTTGTGTGCTTAGGGTTGAAGACTTTCCAGGCCCTTTAAGCGGCTGAGGACAGTCTGTTTGCTGTCATGACATATGGGCTGTTTGTGCGGTGATGGCGGCGGGGGGCTGTTCGTTCATACCTTGCCAAATCGTGAGGAGAAGGTTCCCGTGAGGAGCGAGTGGAAAATGATGATGGTTTCATCCAGGTCCCAGATAAACACTCTCTGTAGAGCAATAACACGGACAGTATGTAACGTTAACCTCATGAAACGTTTATGTGAGAGAGACCCTCACTGGGAAAGACAAACAGAGCTGCGGAGGACTGAACCTCGATGTCGGAGTCCAGCGGCGGCGCGGGTTCGTTCACTCTCTTCCTGCCCCGCAGCTTTCCGTCCTGGGCTCTTCTGGACGGGACTCCCTCCTCTTTTCCCGGGGTAGGGGGGCTGGGCGGTGTGTGGTACTCTCCTGAATTGGTCAATGAGAAATAAAAGAACGGTCAGAAACAATGAGTGCGTGTTTAGTGAAAGTTTTCCTCAAAGATCAGTGATCCGCAGCTTGTGGTCGACTTTGTGTGGCCTTATTCAAACCAGCTGCTTTTGCACATTTCTGTGAACAATTTATGCCACTTTAGATTTCAATCAATCTTTGCAGGTAATGGGTTTTTACATCTTTTAGTCTCCCAATATTTCACACACACACACACACACACACAAAGGGAATGCAGCGCTTTTAAGGATTCTCAAAGACATTTAACATGTTATTATTCTTTCACTCTGTGCTGCCCTGGGACACACTGACGGAAGCGAGGCAACCAGTCTGTGCCATCAGCCCCTCTGACCACCACCAGCCATTCACACACACACCAGACTCATTCTAGGTAATGTGGGTGAAATGTCTTGCCTAAGGACACAACCACAGTTTGGCACTTTCCAACCGGTGTTCTCCAAGGTCTACCATCACAGTACTAACCAGGCCCTACCCGGCACAGCTTCCAAGGCCTGGCGGGATTTTAGCATGCAAGTTTGGCCAACAAATGTATATTTAAAATGTTTCATTTGTAAATCAACATTATTTAGAACATATTATACAACAATATGTTGCAAATAATAATAATAAACATCAACATGATTTGATATGAAACAATAACCTACGGTACATTATGCAACCAGATGTGTTGTTTAATCGGTTTTATAAACACGTTATAGGAATCTTATTAAAAGAACAGAATTGATAAGGAACAGAATTCGTACTAAGGTCTGGATTTGCTCCTTCCAACTCCGTTAACAGTTGGGAGGGATTGAAACGATTGGTTCTGAGTTTACCGTGACGTATGTAAGGAGACCGAGTGAGTCACTAGCATTTGGCATATAGCAGTGCTTTAGCATTTAGCCTACATTAATGCTTAGCCGGATGGCTAAGGCCAGGCTAGGATGGAAAACTTTCAGAATTTTGTGTCTCAGCTGAAACTATACATATTCTATAAGATAATTTATAAATGATGCAAATATCTGTTTGGTTTAATATGACATATCAGTCAGTTCTTACCTGAGTGTGACTCTGGGCTGTGATTGGGCAGCATGGCTGAATGTTCTGGATGCTGATAGGACACTGGAGCTGTGATGGCGCTGGGGCTGATGCTGCTGCTGCTGAGATACGGGCTGTTGTAGTGCGAGTTGTAATACGACGAGTACTGGCCTTGACTGTAGCTTGAATACGCTGAAAAATCCTGCCAAACAAACAGATAAACACAAATATTGTAGTATTTTCTGTATGTGATCAACTCAAAGATCTTATCACACAACATACTTGCTGGGTGGGATTAAACGGTGCAGAACTGGAAATGGCATGAGTGCCTTGGAAAATTCCTGAGGAGATGCCGCCACCTGAAAAATATTTAGATTTGCAATTGAAGATTTATCTAGTTCAGCTTCATTTAGAAAACCTTTCAAACATTAAACATTCGTAAACAAAATCCAGGGGAAATACATGTTTACTTCTATTTCTAAATCTTTTCTTTTAGTTTATAAGTGCCAGTAGTTTTACAATTGAAAGTTTTGTAGTCAGACCGAAAACTATATATGTCTTAAAAGTGGCACTTAATATTAAACCATTTCTGGTAAATGTATTGAACTGTTTGTTAATTGTTCAAACAGCAGTGTTGTTATATTATGATTTTGTCTTTGCACATCCAGATTGGCTGGACCAATCAAATGGCTTCATTCACAGGGGAAACTCCAGCTAGCCTTGATAAGATAAGATAAGAGATACTTTATGCGTCCTGCTGTGTAAGAGCACAAAGCACACAAACATATACAAAATAAGTAGTAGCTATGTTTCTTAAAGAGTTGTAAATGATGTAAATGCTTCAAAACCAGTCTTTCAAAAAATATATATATGTAGTGTGGAGTAGATAAAAAAAGTAGATAAAGTAGGAACCATCTTAGCAACACGTCTTCCCCCGTTACGGCGCCAAGCTAACGTTGTCAGAAAAAAATGGCCATATATAAGGAAATTGGCTCCAGCTAGCTTTTATCCAAATCACATCTCCTGCTTTCAGGAAAACCTAAGCCGGTGACATCAGCACTCAGTCATTGCTCCTGATACGACCTGTGATTGCCCAATCAACAATTTGGGAAAATCACAAAAAAGGTCAAACCTTTTCAGGAACGCTCCAATTATGTTGTACCAATTTTAGTTTAAAGTATATCCTACCGGTAAATGAATACTTTTGACAAACCGACTGCCAGCCCAGTGCCAACAGATAAAAGCAATTATGATTCAGATCAACTTTGCATTATCTCGTTACATCTCCTAAGCCCTGTGGAGAACATAATAAGCCTGAATGCTTGGTGCTGACAGGTCCTTGCTCCAGGAGGTGTAAGCTTAAGTTATGTTTGACACTGCTATACAGGTGGGAATCTCTGCTACCTGCTGCTGCGGCCGAGGCGTCTTCCCTGGGAACCTTTTCACTCAAAACAAGAGTAAGAATGTTTCCCTTGCAGCAATGTGCCCTCCACGTCACCCCGCAACTCTGCATCTCTGCTCCAACAACACTAAGCTGTGGCGTTTGTTGTTCTGCGCTATTCCTCGGGTAACCTGGCGCCCTCACCTGCAGCAGTGGGTAGTTTCTTGGTAACCGTTTTGATAATGCTGCTGCCGGTGCTCGCGACGCATTCTTCAATAAGTTGTTTTTGATAGCTCGTGGTATTAAAATCAATCAAAGTTTCTGTACAAGTCTGAAAATATGACCCAGACTTGCAGACAAAAAAAAGGTCTCTAATTCTCTCATCCTGCTTAGATTTGTGCTTGTGTTTTATAATTACAGTCATAATAGTCATAAAAAAATGAAGTAAGGTAAATTCAGATTATTGAGTACATTATTGATTAAATTATTTCTTCTTTTATTTAGGGATATTTCAATTACAAGATTCAGAAATAATTTGCCAAAACATATCTTTAAATGTATGAGAAAAAAAATTAAATAGCATAAAATTATACAAACATTTTTTTTTTGCTAATTTAAACCAGAACTCACATTACTACCCGTGTTAATATATTGGGCACATCTAAAACTGATAACTGATAAGTTTTCATTCACAATTATTTTTTTTTAATGAAATGTCACTGTTTGTTTACGACTACAACTGTATATGTTATATATTATTTACTATTTTGTGGATGAAAATGGGCAATAACACACAATGGTCTATTGATGAAAACTAATTCATATTAATATCAACCAATTACTGCACAGAACTAGTCTCCCTCAATGACCCTCCAAACTTTGATACATTAAATTATTGTATTATTTTGACCATTTTGTTGATATTGGCTCTTTCCAAGGACACACCAAACAACACGCTGGTTGAAAATACATTGCGGTATAGGCACAGGTTAAGTATTTATTTAAGTATCTAACTCCAACTGTGAGTAACATGAGATGTGACATATGAACCATCAAATATGTACTTAAAAGATGCGTTTCCGTGTAGTCAAAAATGTATGTCTCTGACAATGTTTAAGACAAGGTTGAAAACAGTTCTGTTTAGCTGTGCATACAACTGAGGGATTTTATATTTTTATCTTTTTTTAATGTACTGTGATTATTTATGATTTTAATGCTTTCTTGTTCTGTTCAGCACTTTGAATTGCCTTGTGTATGAATTGTGCTATATAAATAAACTTGCCTTGCCTTGCCTTGCCTTGCCTTAGGTGATACATTATCTGTGCATATTATGGTAAGTAAGTAATCTTTATTTATATAGCGCCTTTCACGGACCGATTGTACATGTTTTCAGTGGTAGTGGAAATCTGAGAACCCGGAAACACGGGGAGAACATACAAACTCCACTCAGAAAGGTCCTGTTCCGATATTCAAACCCGGACCTTGTTGCTGAGAAGCGAGAGTAGTGCTAACCAAGCGGCCCAGAGAGCATGGCTATAATGAAGTAAAACAAATAAATATACATGGGCCATCTTGTACCAAATCCTGTTCCAAACCCTAAACAAGAAATACAGAAGGATGGTGGATAAACATTTGGTTTCGTTTGTGTCGGTCCTCTCATGCGCTGGCTTCTCCCACCGTGTTGTATGCATCTAAAATGGCTGACGTGGAAACAGCCAGAGATGTAACAAACATTTGGTCCTTGTGGCTGCTTTAAAGCTGTTTTTGAAGTCTGAGGCTAATGGTAAATGGATAAAGAATGCTCAAACAAATCAGTATTTTGTTTGGAAATGTCTTTTGACTCAATCAAACTGCAGCCTATTTCAACTTCTGTGGGTTTTCACTCAACTGAGGTGAACTTCGACGATTCGTCTTAAAACGGGTCATCTGTCTGCTCTACTTTGTGGACTGGATTCGCATTTTTCATAAAGCCGATTTGTCGAGCTGTAATTTAGGGTTATCACAGCACAAGAGCTAATACATAATAGTTGCTTACAGTGACTGATGGAGAGACGAGCTGCAGGAGGCAACCAAAGCTCAAGGCTTATATATCATTCCACAAACAGACTTTGTAATCACGTCATGTACAGAGGAGACTTTGTATGAGCACATTTTGTCTTGAACCAACTGGATTTTTACCAGGCCTTTTAGTAATGCTCCATGGCTCCAATGGTCCAATACTCCATGGTTATTTCTTGTATTATTTAAACAATTTATACTGTACATTGTTAGAGCTTATTTGAATATTTATGAACATATTTGAATCTTATTTCTTATTCTACCCCTGACCTTATACCAGGTCAGGGGTAGAATGTATTAGAGTTGTTTTCTGAATGAGTTCAGTTGGTGATTGGATCGAACCCACTGGATCAAAGGTAAAGAAGGATGGTCGTTGTAGTCTGATAGGACAAAGGTAGTCTAGTGACTAGTCAAGTTATTATCCATCCATTTTCTTCCCCTTAATCCATTTCTGGGTCGGGGGGGTGACAGTCAGAGCTGCCGAACTGTAGAACTGCAAAACAATTAAATGGTATGAGTTTAAATTGTTGATGGATGGATGGATGTGTTGCATACAACCCGTTTTCATGAAACAATAGTATGGTATAATTAAAGTCTATATAATTTGCGCCCAGTGGCCTTCTCTATTCTTAGTCATGTCTATTTGGGACATTACCCCATCAGCCCCCTGTGCGCCGCACCATAACCTCTCCCCTCTCGCTCTCACAAGGTCAATTTCACGCTGCTTTTAAGGCCATAAAGTCACACTGTGCGAGCCGGGCTTTGGGCGCCGTCTTACTTGAGGAATGCGCTACGACCCTGGCCGTCTCCAAATGAACCAAACCATGGAATATTTGCTGTTTTTACCACGACCCTTTGCTCATCTTTCCTTCTCGGCCTCGTACGCGCCGCGCTTTCCCATGCGCCGGGTGTTTTCTCTTGCGAGTGGACAAGCGCGTGCGTGCAGTGGTGCTGGTCTGAGCTGGAGCGGGGGTTATAGGGTGAGGGGGTTCTGGGGGTTGGGGGGGGGGGTCTAGCGGCGGGCGTGGAGACGTGCGACGCCAGGAGTCCAGACCGCAGCTAATGGAGAACAGGTGTGGTGCGCAGGAGGCAGAGGTGATGCTAAGGCACTCTGGACTTAAGCTTGTTGACCAGTGAGTTGCGTTTGCGTGACATCACGATGCTGTAGAATACCTATATTTTAAAGCCGGAGTTCTTTAATTCCTGCATTTAAAGCTTATTTTAATCCTGTTCTTTTTACTTTATTTTTATCCATGCACTTGTCTGCTGCGCACTGGGGTCACAAATGTATTCCACTGTGGTTTTACTGCAAACGGCGAAATGGCGATGTCATTTGGAATTTGTCTTTCTGTTGAGACAATCACAATGTATTAATGAAACCAATAAAAAGTTAGGAACCCCAGCTTTAATTTGATGTGGGGGCAGGGGGAGTCAGTTAAGTTTTCTATTGTTCTAGTGTTGTTACGATACTAAAAGTTACTACTAGAAAAACATATTGACAAGAATTGCTCAATTTTTCATGTCAGAATAATACTGCTTTTTTCAAAACATTGTAAAGTGCTTTTGTGTGACCTCAGTCTGTGAAATGCGCTATACAAGTAAAGATGACTTACTTAGGAGTTGTTTAATATAGTTGAAATACAATGTAAAAACATGTTCAGGAAATGTCTAATGTCCTGTTTGTGTAATTTTAAGATTAAGATTGTTTTATTGAATTTTATATAGTGTCAATTATTCACACACATCCATATTTATCACGCTTATTTACGAAACAAAAGGCGAATTTCATTTAAATGTGCGTCATCTTTCAAACAAGGACAGCAACTTACCTCACGACCCTCACAAAAAAACGTAATCAATTCATCTATTTCTTGACAACTACACATTTATGAGATATTGTGTGACTTTAAAGTGAAAAAGACCGTATACAACCGCTTTGTAAAGTGCCAAAACTAAAAGAAACTATTTCAATCAGTATCAAACATGCATCATCACATTCATAGAAACTTTCACCTTTACGTGAAAAATACCAGTGGATGAAGTTGGGTATTTTGAGGTCTTAGAATAGTCTAAATGTACTTGACATGATTTTATGGACATTTGACAATACTTTGGTCATCTGCCCATTATGTTTCGGTGAATTCAACGATTTTGTAAACTACTGTTAGGATTTAGGTTGATACAAGAATAAATTGGATTGAATTGAACATTAAAGGAGCAGTATGTAAAAAATGTGGCCAAAAGTGGTACTGCAGCCTCTCCCACTCTCCCTGACTCAGGTTGCCAGATATGCAGACGAATCCAGCTGGGAACATAATAGCTGAATAGACAAGAGTTTGGTCAACAACAAATCTATAACCAACACCTTTTCCACAAAGATAGAAATGCTGGTTTTATTCCTTGTTTTGACATTAATTATCATAACGAGATATTTTATAGTTCTGCGGCCACATAGTACTTTACCAGTGAGATTAGCTTGTCGCGGTGAGTTCTGGCAACCCGGATCACAGACTTTCTGATTGGTGAAACGGTGGAGGGCGGGATATCAAAATATAAACAAAATTCCAAGATCTCGGCTGAACTACTGTTATCAGTTAAAGAAGTTAGGGCCCTTTAATGATGACTGGACATGAAATTCTTACATATTGCTACTTTAAGAAGACATGTGTTGGATACTAACCGTGTGTATGGGGGTAACTGTACAGACTTTGACTCGGAGGAGGGCTGCTGAAGTTGGAGTATCCCAGGAGCCCCGTCTGTCCCGGTGAGTGACTCAGGCCATCTTCTGTTTTGATGTCTATGGAAACATAAGAAATGAGCCTTTCTGGACTTTGTAGACAATGTATTTTTCAACAGATTGATCATGTTTGTGGACTTACTGTACGATGGAACGCTGTAACCCTGTGCGTGGTGGCTGTAGGGCGCGTAGGGTCCCGCCGCCTGGATCGCAGGACTGTACTGAGTCTGTCCGTAAGCGGCCATGATGCTTCCTCCTGGGAAAAAGGAACAATTGAATTACAAAAATCAATGGGAACTCCACTACAATAGTTCTCTTTTTTGTGCATAATTTATTTAAAGTACATTACAATGGGAAGGACTGACCTGTATGATGTTACTAACCAAGTTTAACACTAGAATGCAGTCAATTTGATTGCTTTTTTTGTGTAATCAATTTTGTACATTTTTGGCTTTTTTCAAGTTATATTCATCTAGAAGTATAAGGTAAACCCTAAAAATAATTTTGATTAGCAATGTGTAAGATTTTCATGTCATCCTTAAATGGCCCTAATCTGTCAAAAGGCGTCAATAAACCATGCTCTTTTCCAATACTTCTTAAATATTTGAATTTCAAAATTTCAGTTTTACAATCCCTGTATCTTGTTATTGTTTTCATTTCCCACCCTCCACTGTTTTACCAATCAGAAAGACTGTGATCCGGGTTGCCAGAACTCACAGAGTCGAGCTAATCTCACTGGTAAAGTAACATGAGGCCTCAGAACTAAAAAAGGTCGTTAATGATTCTCAAATCATTAACGACAAAACAAGGAATAAAACCAGGATTTCTATCTTTGTGAAAAAGGTGTTGGTTATAGATTGGTTGTTGACAAAACTCTTGTCTGTTCAGCTGTTATGGTCCCAGCTGGATTCGTCTGCATATCTGGCAACCTGAATCAGGGAGTGTGGGAGAGGTTGCAGTACCACTTTTGGCCACATTTTTACATACTGCTCCTTTAAAGCTGGTGGAAAGCTAAATATTTTTGACGATTTCTCAGAATTCCACTGGATTTCAACGTGGCGGCTCTGGGAGTTCTAGCAGTTTCATAATTGTGGGAGTTCTAGTGTTAAAAGGAACTTGTAAGTAAGAAATATTTATCTATTTAGCGCATCAGACCAAGGTCACCCAAAGTGCTTTACGATTGTTGAGAGTTCAGATATTTTTCCATTCTCTCCGCACACGGTGATGACAGAAGCCTATTGTTGTGTTTTCTCTATCATTAGCTATTGGGTAATAATACTCACAGAGTACGCAGTGAAGATATGGACGTTTCGAAGGAGGCAGGAGAAGGCCTTCTGAAGGAAAACAAGAGAATACCGTGAGACATTTCATTCACTCATTCATCTGATCCAAAAACTATCCTTAAGTTTCCCACAGTTCTATTAAAAAACAATATAAAGGTTAAACTCAGAAAAATAGAATATTGTTCAAAAGTTGATATATTTCCATAATTCATTACTCATTACGTGACATATGATAAGAGTTTTTAGAAACCAATTATCAACATTTTAACAAACAGCTTGGTATATTAATTTCACATTGTAAAATCAATTCAATCAAATAAGTAAGTAGACTTTTGAAGGATAGAGTAAATGAGTGTTTCTTCTTCAGAGATACTTCTTTATCGACACATATCAATATAGTCCTTTTTGCTTTTATTATTATTATTAACAACTGAATTATCAGTAGAAGGACGGGTCTTCTCTCATCTTGTTGAGATTGGTTTCCTTTTTGGCCTGATTGTGTTTCCATCCAGTGGTAGACGACACATTTGCGCATAATACTATCTCCTATAATCTCCTAAAGATGAGTTTGTGCTTTAGATACATACATAGACAATGATAATGATAATGATAATAATAATAATAATAATAATAATAATAATAATAATAATAATAATAATAATAACAATTTCATTTCATTTTCATCCCTTTAGTCATTCATTACTGGGTCAGGGGGGTGGCTATCAAAGCTGCCGCCCAATTCGCAATGCACCAGTCCAGTGCTTTTCAGGACAGTCAAAGACGCTTCACATGTTGTTATACTTTGACTCCATACACGGTGGTGATAAACTACTACTACAAACTTGCATGCGAAAGCCAGATCTGGTTAGATCTGTGACACTGTGCTGTGCAGGGCCTGGTTAGTACTGTGATGGGAGACCTCTGGGGACAGCAGGTGCCACAGTGGGGCGGCTGTGGCTGTAAAGTGGCAAACTGCTGTTGTGTCCATTAGCAAAACACTTCACCCACATTGCCTAGAATGAGTCTGGTGTGTGAGTAAAAGGTTGGTGGTGGTCAGAAGGGCCGATGGCACATACTAGTTGCCTCGCTTCTGTCAGTGCGCCCCAGGGCAGCTGTGGCTACAAAAGAAATGTGTGGTGTTTGACGTGACTGAAAATGGGAAGTGTGTTTGAGTGTCCTGAAAAACACTATATAAAACCAAGGAATTATTATTATTATTATTATTATTATTACTATTACTGTAGCCACAGCTGCCCTGGGGCACAGTGACAATAATAGACACAGTGTTTGATAATAACAGTAAGGAAAGTCAATTGAATGCACACATTTTTGCAACAATCATCTATGTAGAAGAAGACAAGTAAAATCTAGACCAAGACATGAAGAGGATCAGAACAACACGCAGCATTCCTCACCTGCCTCTGCTCACAGGGCTCCGTCCACTTTATCCTTTCACTCTTAGTCGCAGCTTTTGAGAGCCATCAATCGTCCTGTGGAAGTAAAAACGTGGTCTTTGAGTGAATGACAAATCTTCCCTCAGGTGGAGTCAACAGGATTACCAAATTAAAAAGTACAAAACCCCAAAAACGTAAACAGTGTGAGAGACAGGAGCGAAAAGTGCGCTCATTATATCCTCCCTGACAGCTGAAATTATCACTTTGCACAAACTTGACAGGTGACATTGCTTCCATCTACAAACTGACTCACATAAAACTCTGTCTGGCGTGTGTATGTGTGTGTGTGTGTGTGTGTATGTGTGCATGAAAGCGGCTTGTGTAGCAACAGCATGAGTAATAAAATCAAACCAACGCCAACGCAAGGTCACCTAAAGTTGAGAAAGGTGCGTCGTCAGCAGATAAAGCAATTAATAAAGAAGAGTTTGAGGGCATGGGTGGAGAAGAGGTGAAGCTAATGTCAACAGGTCAACGATACGTGAAGTGGTTGGAGCACGAGGCTGCGGGAGGTCAAGAGAGCAAACACATTCAAGAAGGATAAGTCACCTCAGGAAGTCAGGAAGGATGGGAAATCTGCATAACGAAAACTATCAACGGGATTTTTGGTTTTTGAAAGAATGGCTTGTGTGCAATGTTTTTAGTGCAAAGTTGTGCAGTGTTTGTGTTTATTAGTTGTGTGTATTTTTGATGCAGAAGAGAAGAGTGTGTAGTCCCAAGCTGCTCCTAAAAACCTTGTACACTGAAAAGAGTAAAATCTTGGTAATATTTTTTTACTCAAAATAACATAAATGATGGTTATTTTTTTAATGGCAAGTATATATATATTTTTTTAGCTTGAATGTAGTTTGTTTTAAGATTATTTTACTAGTTTTAAGATAATAATACTTCATAATCTTGTTAGAAAATAAGTCTGAGCAGTGAGATTTTTAAGTTTGTTTCAAGTAAATGTTTTATTTCCAAACAATTTTTCTTGTTGTTTAGATAAAAGTATGATTCTATATTTTAAGTAAACATTTTCTCAAAAGCGTTTAAGAGATCATTATTATTTTCATATATTTTCCAAGGGTAGGTTTTTTTCCCATGCAGTGTATAGTTCATTCTCTTGATTTCTTTGGGGAAGGAAAAAACCTCAATATATGTCATAATTACAGACCATGACTCAAATAACACATAACGCGCACTTTTAGCAGTAATACATGTTTTACTCATTTTGCTAACAACCATTAAAAACAATAAAAATGAAACTGTTGACGTGTATCGATTGTTAAAGTCTGCACCAGGCTTAAACAAATATATATGTGTCTTGTCAACCGACCAACATGAGCCCATTCAATATGTCAATAAGCATTTCTTTAGTCCAGACAATGAACAATATATTTTTTTAACAAATCGTGATCCATCTGAGTCTGTATTTTCTGCTTTTGCTATACATGTGAATTTCCCCTTTGTGGAACACATAACGTAATCATTTCTCTATCTATTGAGATAATATTGTGTCTTTATATGGAATATTTTCAAAAGGCCATGCATGAACAGATGCTTTAGTGATGTATACATGTCTGTTAATCAAATATTTAATCATTTCTGCCTCAACTTGAACACATAGAGCCTTTTATATATCACAGCCTATAGCATCATTTGAAATTAAATCTTCCCTGTCGGTTTATGACGAATGCATCCAGCTTTGCATTGTCTTATATTTCAGCCCTCTTGGAAAACACCAAAACATTAATAGTGAAACCTGATGTTTTAAAGCCACGGTTATTAATCATTATTATTTATGGCCCTATTCAAAACCATGCCTCGCAATCTGACTCTCTCTTTCTCCGTGTGCCTGGGGGCCATTCCAGTCGGGCAAAAACTGCAGCTAACTGTCTGACCCCTGGCCCCTTGCTGACAAGCCCACGACAAAGACAGATGGAAGCAGAATTATAAAAGCAACTATGGGAGGAGAGAAAAGTCAAATACGTCCAAGTAAAAAGCCAATGATGTGACAGTCATTATGGGAGTTTTCTCATCAGCAGGAGCGTTCCTTCTGCAGCTGACAGCACTCGCTATAATCTGGGAGTTTCAGCAATTTGGGAAAAACACAGCAGAGATGAGGAAGGTCACTGATGGATGATATTGTTAAAAAAACGCCTTGGTTTAATTCTCGTGAGCTCGGGAGGAACGGTTTCTGTTGTGTCTTTGGTTACTTAGTCGATTAATCGGTGAATAGCCTCCCAGTCATCCAACATAATCTGGATTTAAGTTTTTTGGTTTTTTGGTATTGATTTAAATTTTGGGGAAAAACAGTTGTTAAATCACATTATTTCTTTATCTAGAAGTTTTTCATGGTATAAATAGTAAGTGAACAATTTTATGCTCAAAAACTTTAACATTGAGAACATTGCAGGGAGTTTCAATTCCAGGTGCATTAAAAAAATAAAAATAGACAGGGGTATGGGGATTCTGCTGCAGTTCAATATCTGAGTTTGAGATCTACAAGAAATGGTACAGACCTGTTTTAGTCTTAGTCCTGGATCCGCTAAGGTGGTCCTCGGGAGGGCAACTACTGCATTTTCAAAGAACGGTAAAATATTTGAGAATGACTTTGCAACTATATCTGTTGGAATTATGATGTCTTGTTAAAATAGGATCACAAACAACTCAAATTATTTTATATTAAATTACATATGATTTTTCACAGTTCACAGAGATCCCTCGAAAGTGGCTGAGTTTTGTCATCTCTAAATGTCTGAGTTGAAACATGGAGTTATTTGGGAACGCTGAAACATATTTACACCATTTGATATAGACCTTAATGTTAATCTAAAAGTTGCTTGCTAGAAACGGTCTAAGAAATGGTTTTTGAAACATAATAGATTGAGATCTTTAGACGTTATAGCTAGTTACTCGACTAAACAAAGAAATTAACTAGTCATAGTCAAAGTGCAATAATGTAGGATAAGAACAAATTGTACAAAATTATCAGAACAAACAAAAACAAAACAACAGAACAAAATCGTCTGCAGGGAGTTTTCATTTGCGTGACCCCAACGACCATTAGGGACCTTTTCTGAACCTTTTACAAGTGCACTTCAAATAACCAACACAAAACCAACAGCACAGAGGAAAGTGGCACTTCCTGTAGACCGTGGACCGAGCAGGACGGCTGTTCGGTGCCCTTTGAACCCCTCGCAGACCCTCATAGACTGTACAAACTCTCTCCGTGCTTCGGGCGTGGCTGGAAGAGCGTCCGCGAGGCCATGGGAACGATGGCAGAAGAATGAGTGAGATCTGCACCGGCCGGGAATGAAACCCAAGCTAAAACAAACCCAGCAGGACCAAAGGGGGGGGGAGGGCAGGGGGGGTGGGGGCATCGGAGGGGGCAGGAGGCCAGGTCCGACTGCCTGACCCGGGCCTGGCGCTCCTGCTGCAGCTCCGAGCTTTTCACGGATATCGGATGATGCTCTGAGCCGAGGGGCCATACCTGAAAGAGCGTTTGTTGTGTTGATAATTGATTCATTAGTTCAGTGGTTCTCAAAGTGGGGGGAGCGGGACAAATTAATGAACCAATTTACAGAAGGCTAAATGACACTGCATAACATGGACACATTTTTGATACATAATAATCTACATTTAGGGCTGAAGTTTATGTTAATTACAATGTGTGGAACAAACTGGAATGGACTCTGAAGACAAATGTGTGTTTATGTTCTTGTTTTATTGGGGGCGCAAAATATTCGTATGTACCAAAGGAAAAGTTTGGGAATCACGGCGTTAGTTAGAGAACGTCCGAGTCGATTTTCTTCATATTTTCTTGTACCATTGACAGATGTTTTGTTCTCATTTTAAGCAGTAATTATGGACCGATGGCTTTTTAAAATGGATTTCTATGATTACAATTACACATGTTGCAATATAATCTGTAATAAAGGACAAAATTGCCTCAATGTTTTTTTTTTTCCAAATTGAATTTCAAAGCAAGAATTCATGTCAAACATGAACAAGAAATACAACCCTTACCCTGCCCAATCATACATGTTATTTATACCAGATTAGCGTTTTTCTGCATTCTGCATTCCAATTAAATGTAAGATTTGTTAATCAAGCAGATGAAATAAAGTTTAAAAGTCCTCATCTATCTTTGTCTAAATATCTCATGTAATAAATAGTGTTTCGGGTCTTTGTATACAATAACACAATAGGAGTGTGACAATATATCGATATGGTGATATCGTGATACTTTCTCACGCGATCGATTATTGATATGCTTTTGCCAAGTATCGATATAAAAAAAATAAAAAATAAAAATTAGTATCAATACTTGATAATGGCTAAATTACGCATCTCCATTCCATTAACATTTTTCTTTTATTTATGCCCTAAATAATTGTAGGTATATTTTTGACCAATATATCGATAATCGTCATATTGTGATATCATCGTTTTCGTGAGCTTTGTATCCCGTATCGTATCGTATCGTGAGGTACCCTGAGGTTCCCACCCCCAAAAAACAAGAAAATGAAAAGACAGCAGTAGAAGTTGCTTCTGATCTTTCTGCTTCACACAGATTCAGATTCAGAACAGTCCAGTGGCGGCCGGCCAATAGAGGGCGCTAGGGCGCCGCCCCACCACTCACAACTTGCCATGTTACCTTGAATAAAACGTTAAAAAAAATAATAACATTAAAATATTTCGAAATTTATGTGTGTTTTATTTCAGATGTGGAAGAAATACTTTATAGATTATGCTGAGTTGGATTGATTAAGCTCATCAGCGTTGTCTGTGTCAGACTGAGGACGTATTTCCGCCTCAGGGCGCAAAAGATTGCGCCCTGAGCCGTCTATGGACTCTCGTTAAAAGTTGTACATGCGCAGTAGCTCCTCTTCAATGCAAGAGATAAGACGATTTGGGGGCGCAGGAGAAGTGCGCCCTGAGGGGGCGGGATCGCCCGCGACCTGTACTGTCACTGTCTGTGACGTCCGTTTACAGTGATTGACAGGTCAAGCTGTGGGAGTTTGAGACGAACGTAAAGAGACGCAAAATGGAGAACGAGAAAAAGAATAATTCAGTTAGATCACTCAAAACAATACCGTTTGAGAGAAGATCATACCAGGAGAAGGTTGAGGTTGAAGAGCTTGGACCTGATCAGCCAAATATTACCATTAGTCAGCAGTCCAGGACCTGGTTCAGCGCCAAATCTTGGCTAGCAGCATGTAGCGAGGCTAATGCTTTATTTTGCTTTCCATGCCTCTTGTTTCAAACATCAGGATCTGACCCAGCATGGATCAAGACAGGTATGACTGATCTGAAGCACTTTTTAGAAAAGGCAAAGAAGCATGAGCAGACTGGTATCCACATGCAAAATGCCCTCAAATTAGCTATGTTTGGGAAGATAAATATTTCATTCTCGTGTGAGGCTTCAGTCACAACAGTCAGTGTAAACTTACTTACTGCTGGTATATATCTAGTCATCATATTCATAGCCCCCCCAGTAGAAAATTCCACCAGCCGCCACTGGAACAGTCAGTGACTCACTTCTTACTCTTACTCTGAAAGAAGACATGATAAATGTTTTTGAGCTACATTTTTCAATATTACAATGAACAGGTGCAGCATATAATCCTGTGCGGCTCGTACAAGTACAACATTCAATAAAAAAAGAAAAATCTTAAAAATTGCAACCTGCAAGTTATAGTCCGCAAAACACAATATATTATTGGTGGTTGGTTGATTAGTACAAACACAAACTATTCAACTCAAAGACAAATAAGTATTACTCAGAGGCAATCCTTTACAACATACTTCAAACTGGTGCTCGACTCTTCATCCCAACCTTCGACCTTTTACAAAAACATGGTCCCTCTCCATCAGCAGAGTGACAATGCAATGTGTGGACTATACAGAGCCATATGGAGGTCCACCTGGAGCACTCAGTCTGCAGCAGCCCCAGGGAACCAGCACAGCCTCACACACAACGATAAAGGACATGGGGCAGTGGGCGAGCCTGTGAGATATGTGTGTGTGTGTGTGTGTGTGATGGGGCAACCATCTGGCAAAGCACTACAATCTCCTGTGGGTGACTTCATGCAGTTCAATCAAACCATGGATGGACAACACTTCTTAAATAAGACATTCTCCACATTTTAAATCTCTCGATTTGTGAGATCAATAATGTTTATTGTATCTCTTTGACTTCAAACTTCACAAACGGTGCTGGTGAGGAACTATTGATCATTGGAACAGATGGATCATTGTTATAAAGTAAGGAAGTAAGTAAGTATTTGTTAGCCTGGTCTTAGCCATCCGTAAACTCCGTAAAATGTACGTCTGGGTCGGATCCTAGTGGCTGCAGTTTCCTCAGTTGTACCCCCTCTGACCAATCAACGAGCAGGGGAGAAGGGTGTTGGCAAAGGCAGCGAATGCGATAGTAAAGGAAGTCATTCTGATTCAGCTGATATCATTCTGATATCAAGAAATTGAAGCCGGAGCAAGAGGAATGTTTAGCAAATGTCATTGCTGCAAAAATGTTGTTGCTCGACTACCCACGGGCTCTGTTAGTGGCAAAGGAGATGGCTAAAGCTAGGCTAAATGCTAAAGCTAGACTAAATCCTAAATGCTAATGTTACATACATTATGCCAAATTTGAGACATTTTGGACATCTTTATCTTCACTTTTTACACTGTATTGTTTTCTTTTGCATAACGTTATAAATAAATCATTACTACTATGCTGTAGCCTAACCACTACTGGACAGCAGTTATTCAGTGAACTTATTTGTAATGAGAAATACATGGTTAAACGTTGGACCCCCACGAACACAGCGACAGAGGGGTGGGATCGACAGCTGGCAGACCTCCCAGCAGAGCGCTCCACTTGGGCAGTGGGACTGGACTGACCCCATAAGATGGTGGTCTGGCTCCAGGTAAAAACATCTGGCACGGGTGTCGGGTGGGTGGTCACACACACATGCTCCGGCTGGCTCACTGCACGGGCCGGTCCTGCCTCTACAGTAACAGCGACCCCCCCAATAGGACCATTATGAGCCACACTCACAGCTTTATTATTAGTCATTAGTACAGAGAGCGCTGCTGTTCGAGAGCAGGCAGCAGATGACAAAGCAGCCGCCCACGGTGCACTAACAGCTGGCCAGCAGTGGACGGATGCTACAAATGTGTAAACGAATGCAGCTCTGGTTACAGTCAAATGTGTTTTAAAGGTGCAACAACTTGGGACAGTAAATATGCACTTTGAAAGCAGACAATGCTATTTTGGTGCCGGTATCTGGGTCAGGAAGGTCTAAAAAAGGTTAAAAATGTTCAAAGACGCCCCGAACCCTAAACTGGATTGTAGAAAAACATACAGTACATTGACAGAAAGCAACATGAGATTGTACCACTATATGTTATAGTTGTTTTCTTTACTCATTGAACAGTGTTTTAGAACGATTGATGCTAGTTTAGTAATGTTTATTCTCCTGCAAGACGTTACATGAATCAGAGTGGCCTCCACAGAATTCATCCTCACAGGTGCACAGACCCTGTCCTGTCCATCTCACTTCAGCAGCCAGTGTCACACTGGTATTTTGAAACATAAGAAAAGTCATGTTATTTTGTAACACCTTACTTCAATAGATGCTCTATTCAATATGTATTTCATCGTCTCACACTTTGTGTGTGTGAACTTCGGGATGACTGAGTATCTAGAAGTTATATCCCCATCCCCTGAATATCCCCGTCTAGGGATCAATAAAGCAATATCTATCCATGTAGTGTTGTTGGGATTTCAGAGTAATCTTTTCAGTGCCCCAGAAGGAATGGAGCCTACTGCACCTATTAAAGGTAAAGGTGCACTTTATTTATCCCTGTAGGGTAAGTCATCCTCTGCATTTGACCCATCCTGAGGCTTCTAAGGCCTATGTCAGGAGCAGTGGTCGCCATAGTAACAGCGCCCGGGAACCCATCTCCAGATGTTGATGCTCGGCTTGGTCAGGACCAGAGCTGGAGGTTTTAACCTAGTGTGAATGTTTTTAGTGGAAGGGGAAACCGGTGCACCCGGAGGAAACCTACCCAGCAACGAGGGAGAACATGCAAACTCCACTCCACTCCGAAAAGGTGGGATTTGACTGGGATTCGTATCCAAGACCTGCTTGCTGAGAAGCGGGAGTGCTATCCACTCAGCCACCGTGCCGCCCCGGCGGCTGAGTGGTGGAGAATACTGGAGCACCCAAAGGAAACCTATTTAGACAAGGTATACTGCAAAGGGCTAGTTCCACAATTTATTACTGTAATTAAACAGTTTAAAGATATTTAGCACAAACAATGATAGCAGAGTGAAAACACCACAGTCCAAAAGTGATTAGAGCATTCTGAAACGTGAGCCCTGGAGGTGACAGAGCAGCACGGTGTGTGGCAGTGGATGAGATAAGAGCGGAGATGGCCTCGGAGGCAGCTGTTTTCTGCTGACAGAGCCCGCTTTAACACAGGCCTCCCCGGACACTCCCAAGGGCTTATGGGAATTACAGGAGGAGGAGAATAAGGAAGTGTAATAACCATCAACTTTATCAGCGCAGTGAGGCGTCCATGAGGTGTCGATGAGGTGTTCGCTGAACTATTGTGATGATGACAGCAGAAGTGCACTGAGCATGACAGGAGTTGATCTGAAGTAGAAATGCCGTTATGGAGGTTCTGCAGGTCGATCCACTGCAAATGTGTACTAAAATGTCCCTGAATCTACTTCCGGGTTTTTCGCAATCGCTTTTTCTCGAATTAAAACAGTAATGATAACATGCATGTGTATTAAGAATGTATATGTATAATGTATTCTCCGATTAATATTTAAATGTTTTGATTGATTGCTGTTTGCGTTTATTGAGCGAGGCTAGCTCCGATAGCGACGAAGTGGCCAGAACTACTTGCGGAGTAATCTACACATCTGAAATACAAGCAGAGAGTGCGTTGCCAAAGGGCAGTGGCCATTTTTGTTTTGAGAGGTTTGTTATCAAGAAATAATGACCGGTAGAATGTTTTGAAATTACATTCAAATCAATGGAGCGTTCTCCTGCTGCTGTAATAAATGTATATAACTTTGCACTATACAGTATATATAGATAGAGATATATTGATAGAGAAGCAATTACAGCTAGCTAGAAGCATAGCAGCTTGGTCTAGTCTTGGGCCCATATAAAAGCTAAACGTTGCTTCAAGGGTGTCCCATTTACAAATATGCAATGTCACTAATTATGAAATTAATTTTACGTTTTTTAAATTTTGTATTTGTAATAAACTGAACTGAACAGCTACTTATGTTGTAAATTTTGTGTGCTCTTACTACTGTCCTGTAAGTGCGCTGCAACAGTGACATTTTCCTCCGCGGGACGAATGAAGGATCTCTCATCTTATGTATAATCCAGACACATGTAACGTATGTATAATTGGAGTGTTTTCATTTCATTGTCTCCATACGGATTAAAAATAACGTCAGAAAGAAGAACGCAATCCTGTTTTGCACCTGTACACCAGGAAAACCTTTGAACGTATATAAAGAACACATGAGACAACACTGAGTGGGTAAATGAGGAGAGCAAGAAAAACATGCTTGATTTTGCTCAATATGTCTTCTTTTAAAAATACATCAGATTTGCTCCATTTGCTCAATATTCCAATCAGCCACATATGACCTTTTTATTTTAGCCCCCCTCAAGATAGCTTCATAGTGACACAGCTACAGTAAATCTTTTTAAGCATTGAAATAGTGAAATAGACATATATAGTAGCTAAAAATTGCTTGAACATGGGGAAAAAAATGTCTTATTTCCAGGCAAGGGCAATTTTTGTATAGTTCCAAATCCTACCGTTGAAACTGACATTAACTTGAATGAGGTCATAAATGGTATATTGTTTCATCTTTTGATGATATACGTTACTGTATAGAGAACACAATATCTAACTCAACTCAATGTCACGGTTGATCAGTTGGAGCGCAACTTCCTCTTCCCCTTCACGGCACTGAACATGACAGATAACAGGTCAGTTATGAAGCAAAAGCTCTGAGTATCATTTTTCTTAGCCTTTTTATAATCAGGCTTGACAAAAGTAAATTGAATCGCACAGAAGCGGAAGACATTAAGACGTTATAGGTGCAAAAATAATACAAAATGCTCAGATAAAGTCAGGAAGAGCCGAGCTTCCTACAAAAATATTTACCATTCCACAAACGTTTGGCCCAGAACGGCGTTGGAATTAATTTGTGTTTTCTTTAGAGGGGTGCCTTGAGCTACAGGATGGGGAATTCTCAACCGCTCCGCCGGACTTTTGGGGCCTTTGCTTATTCACAATTTATTAGAGCGAGTAATAGAAACCATGAAGTCTGCGGAGAGAGAGGAAGGCAAAACGGGCTCCATAATGGGACAAGCCACAGTGTTAAATCAAATACAACTTCAGTTTATGGTCTCTGCTCCTGGATGTTATTAATGGAGCCGAAAAAATGCAGGTAAAGAAGAGATTTGGGGAGATTTAGAGAGCCAAATCTGATATTGTGCAGCACGGCACTGGCTTCGATCGCGTATAGAGTCCCGACATTGTGATACAGTGTGTGAAATTGATTTGAAAAGTTCTAAACATGCTTGATTGTGTGGTTGCAACGTGACGTACCACTGCAGATCCTAGCATAAACAAACGAATAACTGACAATGCTGTAATAGTATCCCAAGTGGCTACTAAAGTTATGCTATAGTTGCCCCAGGATTGTGAATATTAGGGTTAACATAAGAATAGAAAAGACAAGAACAAACAGAAAAAGTAAGTTATTTTTTTAAAGATGTTCCTTTTCATTTGACTCAGATTTGCGTACGTGACCTAAATAATTCCATGGTATTGAAGACATTTCCTATTAAAGTTTAGGGTGGTCAAAAGTGTTGAAAATCCGATATCAATACTGTAAATAAAAAAAAAAATGATATTGAAACTTGTTAAAATAGAGCGACGATAAATTTGTAGATTTTGACATTTCTTTCACACCTTGTACTGTCCCTGTCAAATAAATAATGAGATAAATACATTGTTGATCTATCTTGAATTGCATCAGGAAAACTTGGGACCTCAGAAAAATCGTAAAATAAATTCCAGTTGTAAATTAGTTTATTGCCCAAAAAGAGCATTGTTAAAGTAATCGCAGTGGTAATGAAATTGGCAAGAATTTTAGTTTTCTGTGGCTCCACCTACATGTGAAAAGCCTGAATGCTGGTGGGAGGGGCCTATTACACAGACTGGTTGCCTTGCCTCTGTCAGTGTGCCCCAGGGCAGCTGTGACTACACCAGTAGTTTATCACCACTGTGTATGGAGTGAATGAATAACAAGATATGAAGCGTCTTTTGAGTGTCCAAAAAAGCGCTGTAAAAAACAAATCTATTATCAATATATTTTATTTTATTAATGTAGGCTTGAAATGGAATCGTTTGAACTGTAGTATCATGACCACAGTATAACCCTTTATTTTGAGTTTAAACAATGCATGTGCCGTGGTCAGAAAGATCAAGTCCGTGAAGTCAACAAACTCGAGATATCAAACCTAATGGAAGAAACAGCAGCACAATCCTGAAATTAAGACATTTTTGCAGAAAGCCTCAGACCTCGAAAAGCCATTTCATAAGAAAAGACATATCAAATCATTAGTGACCGTCCAAATATCTACAGCTGCAGCCACGACAGGCATTTTTCTCCGATTATATGCTCTGTTGATAGTTTTGTCGACAGCTCTCTCTGTGCTTGAGCTGATGTATAATAATAGAAATAAAAATAAAACAGTAAAGTAATAGGTCTTATGTAAACTGGTGTTAAACAAACAGGCTCTAAAATAAAGACTTCAGCTAAACTGTTGTTAATAAATAATTAGTCAACAGATTTTAGTCGCCAAAGACTCTCCCAAACAGCCCCATGGTTATTATTGTCTCCAGGTCACGAGCTGTAAACTCACTACAGGCAAGATCAGACTTGGAAGGAAGAAAAGTGAGTGTTAAATTACCATTAATCTAAAGCTGTGGTTCCTAACAAAAAAAAAAAAAAAATGTTGTTTG